CGGCTGTCTCCCGTGACCGTGGCGCCTGGACCGGGCGGGTGAGGTGCCGCGCTCTGCCCTGCTGCGCCCGGCCGGCCCGCCCGCCGCCCTAGCTTCAGCTGCGCTGCTCCCGGGTGCCTCGGGGTTTAAACCCGCTCGGGCAGCAAGCAGGCCAAGCCCGAGTCCGTCTGTCCTGCTGGGGCTGTGTGCGGTTGGGCAGAAGTCATTGGGAAAGTGAAGTTAAGTAGAGGGGAGTGGTTTGGGTTGTGTTTCTCCTGTTGCTTTCCTTGCTGTCCTCCTCATCTTTGAGTGGTGTGAATGATACACGTACGTGACCCGAGCATATTTTTACAGTGTGTGTTATCAGCAGAGCGGTGCTGCCTGTTGGCAGAGGTACGTGCCCAAAGCACTGGCTAAAAGTAGTATTTGGAAGTTCGTTTTTATTTATTAGAAGATTTTAACTGCTTTTAATGAAAAGTCGGTTGTGCATTTATTTTTTTCTTTTATTTCAAAGCTCCTCAATATTTTTGGACAGGCTCCGATACTGTGATAGTCTCATGTATAAAGCAGCTTGGTTTCTTTTGTTAGCTGTGTTTGCTTTCTAAGGCTAGGCTTCCGAGCAGAAGACAAACCTGATGGTAGGTGAAATACAGTAATGCAAGCTGCAATGTACTACTGGCTTTAAATGTTTAAGGCTTGCAGTCTTGCTGTGTTTTTCTGACGCTGTGAGCAAAGATCTCTGAATGGATAAATAGTTTTAAGGAGCGTGCAGCCTGAATTAATGAAAAACATGTTTGAAAAAGATCTGTGGAGAACAGCTCTGTGTGAAACAGTAGGACTCCTACCATCTTCTCAGTAATGTGGTTCTGAAGCTTCCCTTAAATTTTCCTGCTGCTTTTCAACATCGAAATTTAGGGTTTAATGCTGACAATTTGATGCTGGCAATTTATTAAGTGCAGAGTGACTGAAGTAATAACGTGGTGCCTGCTGACACTAGCAGAATTTTCTTTTTTAGCAGGCTTACACAGAGAGGTGTGTGTGAGGGGGGGAAAGTATTTCAAAATTCTTTCAGATCTGTTGAAGTGTTTTATTTTGAACCAAAATAAATATTTAATTGTAAGGTTTTTTTCTTTATTTTAGTGACTTGAAGATGGTTTTTAAACAAAAAAGTAGTTGAGAATGTAAAGGTTTAAACATTCTGTTTTAGAATGTTAAAGAGAACAGTTCTTTGAATTTTATGATAGTTTTTCCAGAGAATGCGTTTGTGTCTGCATTGCAGCAATATCCTAAGCAGCTCCCTGACCTCTCCTCCCTCCCTGCTGTCCCTGGCTTCACATCCTCGCCTGCACCGTGCCAGTTTTAGCTTCTTTGCAGTGATGTGGTAAACTAGGTAGAGGAGCTGTTCCAGATGGAAAAATAACCAAAATAACTTTTTTGTTTGTTACTGGGTTATCTTGCGGCAGGATCCATCTCCTCATAAGGCTGCTTGGCTGCTATATTGCAGGACGTAGGGTAGGGGAATGTGATCCATAGTAGTGCCACGAGTGTAAAACAATGTGAAGCTAAATGTGTGTGTACAATCTTTTTTAGGTGGCTAGGAGTGATCTCTTTGTTGCCTCATTTTAAGAGTTACAGAGAGTTTTCTATAGTACTAACAAATTTAAGTATCGGGTACCAGTAGATTCAAACTCTCAGTCTGCTACCTAATGCAGGGATACTTTAAAAGTTTTAAGTTCCTAGATTAAACACAACTTATTTGTGGAGGAAGTAAAGTTGTTTACATTATTTTTGTGATGAAGAAACCATATATAATCAAGAGTTTTAAATAGTGCCCTAGCCCTTCTCAAAAGACAAAAGGTACACATTTGACATGTACTTAACATACTCAGTTTGCACTCAGTTAGGCCTAGACAGTTGTAACTGATGTGGGGTTTTTTGCAGGCTTACAAAATTCAGCCTTGGACCCTATTTGTAACTCCTGATTTTTTTATGTATTTACTTTTTTAAACTTTGTATATCATCTAGCAAAATACAGAAACTCTTCAGCACAAGCAGCGTGCTTTCTACTGAGAAGGATGAATCTACCGCTTCCAAAGACAGCACCACTGAAGTGGCATCAAAGAGTCAGAAGAGTACAGCAGAAACACCAAAGCAGAAGTTGTTAGACATTATTGGTAATATGAAGGTAGAAGTGAGCTACAGGAAGAAACTCCAACAGTTAAAAACACGTGAGATCAAAAAGCAAGCCACAAACAAGCTGGAGGGCCCGGACGGTAAAGGTAGCATGCTTCAGAAAACTACAGAAGACACCCAGCGGTAAAGTATAACAAACTTTTCTTAGCCTGACCAAAGCAGAAGTTGTTAGACATTATTGGTAATATGAAGGTAGAAGTGAGCTACAGGAAGAAACTCCAACAGTTAAAAACACGTGAGATCAAAAAGCAAGCCACAAACAAGCTGGAGGGCCCGGACGGTAAAGGTAGCATGCTTCAGAAAACTACAGAAGACACCCAGCGGTAAAGTATAACAAACTTTTCTTAGCCTGTTTTCTCCTTGCCCCCCCCCCCCCCCCCTATTTTTTTTTTTCCCTTTTTTCCCCCCCCCCCCCCCCCCCGCAAGGTTTTTTCATTATCTAGGGCAAAATAAAGCATCAAATGCTATTTCCAAGTATAGAAAAGAGTCTTGTAAGGGAATGTAGTGTAGATGTAGACTGCAGTAAATCACAGGGGAGAATCTGGATAAATGATGTTGTGTGCTTTCTACAATATGTTACCTTTTTCTGCACTGCGACTCTTGAAAGGTAGCACTAGCAGCTGCCTGTGGGAAGTTATTTTAATGGGGGGGGAAATAAAATATTAATTAAAATACAATAAAGCTGAGGAAAAAGGGAAAAAAAAAAAAAGCAGCCAAGTCCAAAATTAAGAATGGCATCATGATTGTTGAGACTTGCGAACGGCTTCCCACCATGTTGTGTTTATACTCCTGCAGGTCTGTGCTGCCTGTGGTCTTTGACCACTTGAGTACAACAGCTTGTCAGTGTCATTTAACAGCTGATAATTAGTGCAACACAGGGCAAACCTGGCCTTCCTTCTGGCCACCGGCACCCCCATTTGGGATAATGTGTAACTGTAACTTCTGAGGTATTAAGATATAAAATGACAGTACAGAAATGACAATTTAAATATATTAAGGCTTTTATTTTTTCATATTTCCGTATCTGTTGTCTTTTACAGAGGCAAGCCTTTAAGTCCAGAACTGGTGGAGGCTGCTTCTGCAGTTGCATCTTTCCTACCACTCAACAAGAAACAGACAGAATCAGAACTAATTGCACAACTAAGACGACACGAAGAAACCACAGATAAACAGAAAAAGGGGGGAACTATTAACATACGGTTTGTATATTGAATGTTATTCTCAGTAATGTTTGAAATTCTGATTTTGCAATGTCATCTTGAAGGTGACTGGGTTCTGTGTTGGAAAGATGGCCCTAAAAGATACATTTGGACAAGTTACACTTGGAATTAATGAATAATGGGAACATCATTGGTCTGGTTTTACCAAACTCCCTAAATTTTGCCATCTTGTTCTAGAATGGTTTTGCAGAAATGGAATTGTTTTCCTGCCCAGGATCATTACTTTCTTGGACAGGCTAGCAAAACAACAGGTTTGTGTTTGTGTTTTTTTTTCCCAAGCTTCCGAAAATCTCACACAATGGATGGATTTGTAAACGTTTCAGACATTCTGTCTGGACTGGTGAATTTTCATGACAGCTCTGCAGAACTGAACGAGAGCGGCTCTATTTATAGCCCCACCCTTCCTTTCAAAACTTTCCAGTCAACCCAAGAAACTCATCTCTTGGCTTAACTCTGTTTCCAGTGTGGCTTTCAAACAGATGAGAAACATTTGTTTGGAAACTGAAACAGCTGTGCATACTGCTCTTTTGGATGATGGCTAAAGACAGATTTTTTTTGTTCTCTTTTTTCCAGCTCAGATAACTACTCAGAAAATAAGGCATTAAATTCAGGTGAAATGCTCAACTAAACAGAAAATTGGATCTTCAGCAAAATAGGAAGTGAAACCTTTATTTATGGCTGTTTGTGGTGTGAACTGCAAGCTGCTTATCATCTTAGTTTTAATTTATTCTGTGAAAATGAGCTTGTCCCAAACCAGGATTTAAGTTTGACCTGTGAATTATTATTTGTAGGTTGCTCTAGGGATCAGTAGAGGATCTGCTTGGTATGTTTATCAATGAACTGCAAACAGAGTAGCCAACAAACTAGTGATGTTTGTGGCTGATGTCTGCCCTTCACGTGAGTGGAAACTAAGGACGAATGTGACGGATGCTTGCAAATAAGTCGAGTTAGATGGTTGCAAATAGATTGGGAAGCACAATGCTCAGCAAATAACTTTGTTAAACAAAATGTGTGTTCTTCAGAGGTTGTAAAGGGAAAAGGGAGAAACTGTGCAAGTTTCCCTTTTAGCCTGTATTCATGATTCTCTCTACCAAGAGTGCTAATGGTGGTTGTGGAGAGCAGAATGAAATTCTCTCCAAACATGTGAAGTGTGTGCTATTTGAGGAGGAAGTACGGTTTTAGGTAGTACTCGGAAGCGTCTCCAGAGGCTGTGTGTGTGTGCTCTGTTTTCATAATGTCCTCTCAGCCTGAAAATAGGAGATCTTGAGAACTTGACAGAAGCTTATCTCCCCATAGGCTTTTGGAGCCAAAATGAATAGCTTTAAAGGTTAGAGGTCTGGCTGTTTTATGTAAAATTGATGTGTTTCTACTTTTTTTTTTTGTTTTTGTGTGCAGTATTACCAAAACCCTAAGAGACACTTACTAGTGTAAGGAGAATAAATAAGGAATATTTTATATAAAGAATATGTTCATTAAACTATTAATTACCATTTAGGTTGTTCCATATCTGTCACTGGGGTGTTTAGAAGAGCAGAGCACACAAATGTCTTGATGATGGCATCAGCTGTGGGTGGCCAACTTAAATGTAATTGGAACCTATTTCAGTTCCTGGTTAGATGTTAGAGGACTGTACTGATACTGACTGAGCTAATATGTGCAGTGGCTAACCTCATACGGGCCTGCATCTGTTCCTTAAGGTATACATACTCTTCTCTAAATGTGGTTGGTCTGCCTACTGGCAACAAGGGCTCGCTCTCCTTACCACCCACTGCACTTTCCCTGAAGCACTTAACCCAGCAGTGGCTGCTGTGGAAGAAGGAAGGCATCTAAGGAAGTTGTAGTCCAAGCAAAAAAGGCTTTTTTCTGTTGAAAGAGAGTTTAAATTCTTCAGAAATTTAAAAGCTGAAGTCCCAGCAACTGTATAGTGCCTCTATATAGTTGGTTGATGGGTTAAGATGTGCTGTTACAATATTTTATAACGTGCTTGTGGATGAATCACTATGGTTAGAAAAATGCATTTTGCTCAACCAAAACCAGCCTTTTTGGTTGACTAGGAGTGTCATAGCTGGCTTGCTCTGATTTGAGTTGGCAAGTTCTATTCCCTGAGGCAGCTTTATGAACTCGCTTGCTTCTACCTGAGAATATATATTAATGTTTTTTATTATATGCTGAAAAGAATCATAGAATCATAAAATAGTTTGGGTTGGAAGGGACCTTTAAAGGTGCAATAAGCAAGGACATCTTCAACTTGATCAGGTTGCTCAGAGCCCCGTCCAGCCTGACCTTGAATGTTTCCAGGGATGGGGCATCCACCACCTCTCTGGGCAACCTGTTCCAGTGTTTTACCACTCTCCTTGTGAAAAATTTCTTCCTTATGTCTAGTCTAAATCTACCCTCTTTTAGTTTAAAACCATTCCCCCTTGTCCTATCTCAACAGGCCCTACTAAGAAGTTTGTCCTCATCTTTCTTAAACTCCAGCTCTCTCAGCCGTTCTTCACAGGAGAGGTATTCCATCCCCCTGATCATTTTTGTGGCCCTTCTCTGGACTCGTTCCAACAGGTCCATGTCTTTCCTGTGCTGAGGGCTCCAGAGCTGGATGCAGTGTTCCAGGTGGGGTCTCACCAGAGCAGAGTAGAGGGGGAGGAAGAATCACCTCCCTCGACCTGCTGGCCACACTTCTTTTTATGAAGCCAGTTGGCTTTCTGGGCTGCGAATGCACATTGCTGGCTTATGTCCAGTTTTTCATCCACCAGTACCCCCAAGTCCTTCTTGGCAGGGCTGCTCTCAATTCCTTCATCCCCCAGCCTGTATTGATACCGGGGGTTGCCCTGAGCCCGGTGCAGGACCTTGCACTTGGCCTTGTTGAACCTCATGAAGTTCACACAGGCCCACTTCTCCAGCTTGTCCAGGTCCCCCTGGATGGCATCCCGTCCCTCTGGCCTGTCGACCGCACCACTCAGCTTGGTGTCGTCTGCAAACTTGCTGAGGGTGCACTCGATCCCACTGTCTGTGTCATTGATGAAGGTATTAAACAGTAAAAGTTCCGTTTTCTTCCTTAATAGTTAGGTAACAGTTTGAAACTCTATCAAAGGATGAGTCTTCTAGAAAGACCAGCAGCTCCTGCTGATTCTCATGACTGAAAACTTGGCTAATAATAACCTTTCACAGTTAAACTCTGAGATGAATTTGGTACTTTCAGCTTTCTGATCAGTGTTAAAACTGTTGGTTTTAAAAAGTCCAGCAGAAGGCACTAAAATGCTTTTAATATATTAGAAAGCGATTTCTTTTATTCATACATGATTATTTTGTGTTGATTTTTATTTGACAACAAGAGAATATGGGCAGTTTAACTTTTCATTTTTTCCATAAAGGTTTTGCATTCAATACACTGACACATTTTAAAAGCCAATATATTCCGCCGTTATTTAAAACTATTTAAAAATGAGATACCTTCCCAAGCAGTAGAGCCATATAATGCTCAACTTATCCCAAAAAAATTGGGATAGTGCTGTTGAGATTTATGGGGGTATAAAATAAATTGTACGTTGTCCGGATCTTTTGGTTCGTACTAATTTTTTTTCCAGGATTGTGGCATGGCCTCCAGAGGTCACTGTTGTATGCAGTCGTCTCATCGCCTTGTTTTGTAGACAGCGTGAGGACAGCGTGTTCACTAGGAGGGGAAAATATTAATGATACAGGAATTTATTTTTCTCAGTGTGGGATGAAGTTTCACTCAATGGAAATTACAACAGCACTATACCAAAATAGAATCAGTGGCACTACAAGTTGAAATTTCAGCTCCTGTTTTGGGTGAAGAAGAAGTAAAGTAGTTCAGAGCTTAGGCTAAAGTATAGCCAAAGCTCCTTGGGTCTCTGGTTTTAGTGTTACAATTACTGATTGGTGATCAGGAGGGAGAGCGAATCTGTGCTTGTTACAAAAGCTCTACCTCTTCTCATCTCTGGAAGGCAGAAGTATCTAGGAGCTTATTTTTTTAAACTCGTGTTGTGACATGAGGTAACATCATGTAATATCTAACCACTGTAGGTACGCTGGGGTTGGCATATGAATTTGTAATCTGATGTTTTTCATTACAAAAGACATTAAAAACATCTTTGTAGTTTTATTTTTAGTTAATACAGGGGCACTTCTAATGATGGAGTGATGAATGTTGCTGTCAGAAATGTTCGTATACCAACGATGGGGTGACATTAGGACTTTACAGTGAGAATATGATACCATTGACTGCACGTTCTGATAGCTTGGTAGCATAGTCTGTCCAGACCTACTGTGCAAAACCACAAATAAATCAAGATCGGCTGTTAGAAGAGCTTCTGAGAGGAAGCCTGATCCCCCTGTAGCATGGGAACGCTCCAGCCTTGTAGGTCGCAGCCAAGCCAAGCAGTTGGGCTGGTCCGTGTGTGACTGACCTTAGGAATTATGTCCCCGTGACTCTCAGAAGTGTGTCAAGCCTCTGGCCCAACTCCAGCTCACTAATGCCAGTAGGCACTTCATAGAGTAATTTCTAGTGTGAGATACGCAACTAATCTGAGATTGTTTTTTCTTTAAGATTAAAATGAAATGATTTAAAACTTATTTTCAGATGCCTTTCTTTCAGAGTAGGTACTCAAAACGCTATGCTATTCTTGTTCTGCCATTCTCAACCACATCTAAGACCGAAGAGAAAATCCTGCTATGTTGCTGTGGCAATTAGCTTTTACAATTTTCCACAAGTGTTTCTTTCTTCTTAATAAAATCTCTTTTGACTTAACCTACCAAAAACATAGTTTGGACTTTATTCAGATTTTCATAAAATGGATATGCAGTATTTTTGACTTGGCCTATTTTTGTTTTTTTGAGACCATATTTTTCTCTTAAAACTTGAGCGCTGCAATTTTGGATGACTGTGTGTTACTGGAAGTGGTTGGGAGGAGAGGATAGCTGTGAGGAATAATTATCAGCTTGGTCTTTACCAACCAACAGACTTACCGGTTAAGGGGATTAATCGGCGGAGGCAGAAAGGTGGTGTGTTTTTTCCTTTGAGCTCAGAATGAGCTGCAAACCGCGCCAGAGGAGATCAGAGCATTTGTTCTTCATGTATGATTTTTGACTACAGAATTATGAAGGAAGATGTGGTCTGTTAATGCTGTAATATGATTATGCAATGCAACAGATTGCAGTGGATCAGGAAAGGTGACCTACTTATTAGGGTGGCATGATTGACCCATGTCAGCTGATGTGTGAAGGCAAGCTTCCTTTTGGTCTGCAGCAGTACAGCTTTGTCCCTGAGTGGTGGTGTTTCCTGTCCAAAAAAATGGTGATTTTTACCTCCCTATTTCAGCGTATTCCTTGTATCCAGAGAAATTCCTCATTTACTTAAGCGAAACATACCTAGCGCACTCTGTCACTGTTGGTATGCAGATATATGAAATTTTTCTTTTAGTTGGAAACTAGATAATTTCAAAGAAAGCATTCACTGTAGATTTAGTAGGCTAAAATAGCACTTTTCATTTAATCTATATAGAATGTAACAACTGAGGTGGTTTAAAAAGTAAGACTTGAATGTTTGATGACAAAAATGGGTGTATTCTGTGAGGAATATATAATTCTGTCTTACAGAGGCTTATGAAAACAATTGAGAGTAGAGTTTCTGGTTAATATATGTGACAAACTTCCTTGCTTTGTCAATGTGTTGAGTTTTTACATTCATGTTTTTAATTTCAGCAACGTTATTTCAGAAATGGCAGTTAAAAGGCAGTCCCCAGCTCAGAGAGGTGTGAGGATATCCAATCGCATTTCCTTGGAGTTGGATGAGGATGGTCAAGGAATCAAGCCTGAAAGATTGTCACCTCGGTCTTCTGACTCCAGAAGGTATTTTTGTTGTGTTCCCTTCCAATAGGAGTGTGTGTTTAAAAAAAAAAAAATAAAAATTACTCATGGATAATATTTTAGATTTAGTTGTACATATTCATGTTACCATGATACTTCAGAGCTTAAAGAAATTACTGAAGTATTTTTCAAAAAAAGTGTTGTTAGTGTTGAAATAAACTGTGAGAACACATCACTTAATGTTAACCAGCTAATCAAATAATGTGCACTTTTTAATATTAAATTTTAGATAACTAAAAAACCTGGTGCTGAAATATAATTGTGTTTGTTTTAACTAGTTTAAATTATTCTCATGCATAATACAATTTTATATCACTTTCTTAACTTTTGGGGAAATGGAGGCTTTGAAGGCTTACTTTCATCTAATGGAAAACTTTGATAAATGTTCTATGTTTAGAAAAGTTTCATCCATTCTGTTGCAGTTTTAAAGAGATTTTAAAGTTGGTTTTTTATTTTTTTTTACCACCTTGTTGCAACTGATAAGTCATTCTGTAACTGATTTCTCTGTTGTCTGTGATGTTATACTTGTCTATGAAATGAACCTTATAATTTACATGATGATTTCAGGGTACTCCTTAAATTTATCTTGCTACTGGTTATGTGGCCAGTCTATTTCTTAATGAACTAAGGAGTGCTCTAATTTTTTTTTTAACTCCTGTAAGCTATGCTTTCTTGCCTGCGATCTTTTGATTTTCCCATGGCAGCTCATCATCGCATTCCTGTCAGCATATTCTTTCTCTAGCAGTTCTGTTTTTAGTAAGATTAACTTCTCTAATCATTAATTTAATTTGCAAATTAATCCCCTTTTCTTGGGGTTAGGGGCTGGAAGTTGGGGAAGTCATTTGTGCTTAGATAGATAATGCTGAAGGCAGAATTTGGATAACTAAGAAAAGAAAAAGCACAAATTTATGGGTGAGTAATGTACAATATTCTGTGCTTTTTGGCCAAGACATCTGTTTCAGTATATCCTAAACAGAGCGTTGTGACTTCCCATAAGGAACAAATTGTAACATATGCATTGAGCCATGTAGATCATGCAAAAACCTCGAAGAAGTGGCTATAGCCAGTCATTAGAAGAACTTAGCCTGCTTGCTGAAATGTTTCTGAGTAACTTCCTTGTTCTCGAACTACCAAACTGTGTTAAGGTGTGTTAGGGAAGTATCTCTTGAGCCTCTTCAATGTTATAAGGCCAGCAAGCAATGTTTTCTTTTCCTGATGCAAAGCTTGTTGAAAGTGCAAGAGGGGCTTCTTGTGATGGAAGTTGAAAGGAAGAAGTGGAACAAGGTTCTAGACCAAGCCCTCCTGACTTAGATATTTCTGTCCTGGGATTTTCATTCAGCTATAAGTTGCCAGTTTGAGGAGCAATGGAACTGACTTCATTATCAGTTGCTGAATAGCTCTATAGATATTTTTAATCTGGGGATAATTATCAGACAGAGTTGGTAGTCACATGAAAGTAATTTTGTTGTTAGACTATGATTCTTGACTGACTGTGAGAAATACTTTATTTAAGGTGTTGGATTAAAAGTTTTTCAAAGTTTGAAAGAATAGAAATAATATGATCTAGAAGTAAAACCCAAGCTATTACATGCTTGTACAGTGTATGTTATTTTATATCTTTGCTAAACTTTCATTTATTAACATAGTGCAAAGTAAAGTGAATTTCACTTATGTTTGAGAACACTAAAATCAATGAGAACATTACATTTATGATATCTGAGAAGCTGTCTCGCCCTCTTTGTGTGATGAAACTGTACTTAGTATATAACTTCAGGAGCAGTACCTTAAAATAGTTTTTAAAATCCCTGTAATGAGCAAACTGCCTCCGGTTTTAGTCCTAAGTTTCCTCCTGCATCCCTGAAAATCTAACAGGTATACTTATCTATTGATAATATGAAAAGAATGGGTTAGGAAGAATATCCGAGTTCAACTCGAGTTAGTAGATTTCAATCAAATGAGTGATGTTGCTTTATAGTAATTTGAACTAGTCATTTTAAAACAAATGTTCTTCCAAGTCACGCTTGTATCTTTGGCCAATGTTTTTGGGAGTTACACACAGATAGGAAAATACAATCCTAAATCAACATTCTTTTAAGGCTCTGTAATTAGACTGCTCTGTGCTGAAATAGATCCAAGGTAGTTACATCAGTAAAATGTAATATGACAAGAGCAGGTTTGCAGAAGTAGTTGTGGCCATCAGAAATCTGCAGTAAATCCAGAGAGTTGAAATTTTAAGGTCAGGAAGGGCAAGTACTGCCAGGGTAACAGTGAATATGTAATAACATAATGTAGGAACTATTAGAATTTCAGTGGAAACCTGGAAGATTGTATGATTAAAAGAATCATTTATTCTAAAGTTTAGTGTGTTCTACAGTAAAGGCATTGATTTTCCTTTGTTTCCATTTATAAGAAAATTTATTTTGATTACTTGTTGAACTCTTGGATTTTTAAATATTTTTTTTTTAGTATAGGCTTATGCTAAAGATAAATATGATTAAAAATAGATGGTCAGAGTGAAATATTTCTATATTCAGAAGAGAGGGCATCAGGGTGATGCTATTTAAAATATATCATACAGATGTACTTCGAGTGTTTGCCATGTGGCAGAGAAGGTGGCTGTGCAATCTTCCGAAGAGGCTATTTATGTCATAAAGCAGGAATTGTTTGATTTAGCTGTTGCCTTTTCTCTTCCTGAATTGTGCAATATTTTTTACAGGGAAAAAACCCAAATCACCAGATTCACTTTTTAGTTGCAACTTCATAAAATTGCTTGAGTACTGTGGTTTGATACTGTTTAGCTTTTGTTCAGATTCCTAAATATTTCAATAAAAAGTGACTGCAAATACAATGTTTGATTTATGCTCATTCTTTCATATGGAAGTGTTTTGGGAAGCTCTGTTACAGAGGAGTAATAGTCACAAACACTTTCTCTGGTTAAAAGCCTGAGGATTTAGTGAGAGTCACTCTCATTTTTTTTTCCTCCAGAGATGTTAGTTCATGAGAATATTCTGTGCTTTTAAATTTGTTATCTGGCAATGCTGTGAACTGTTGCGAAATACTAAATATCGTTTTTCTTTTTTGTTTATAGAAGTCTCAAAGTAGGAAGGAGGCTTAATATATTCACTAGGGCTTCTACAGAAACAGAAAATGCACTGAAAACAGGTTAGTGGAAATTCAATAATGAAAAACATTACAGAACCCAGTGAAGCCGGGTTCTGAATTGTTAGACTATCAAGAGATTCACTTTTGTGAAGGAGACTTATGACCTGTTAACTTCTGCTTTCAGACCTATAAAAAAAGAATACTTTAATGTAACTCTGATTTTTAGTAAGGAAAACTTCCATGCAGTGTAATAGATTAATGTTTTCTGTACTGATCAGGACGTTCTGGTACTGAACTTGAAGGGTAAAACTGGCTTTTTGTCACTAAGGCCAGTCTTTCTTCTGTGAGTGTAAATCCAGCCTGGAGAACGGGTATGTTGGCTCCAGTAGCTTATCTGGTCGTTGCAAACTTGCTGCCTTCATTTTATGGCAAAGAAATGCAAGGCTGTGATCCCAGGGAAACAAGTGTGCTTTACAGGTGGCTAAGCATAAGCAGGGTAGAAAAAACCCAAGACCACGCTTTCAATTGCTTTGTGACCTTTTCTTGTTTAGTGTTGTATATGTAGCTTGAAAGATCCTGTAAGTGGCTGACAAATGACACCTTGCTTTACCTACTCTTTATATACGTATGGAATCATAGAATGGGTTGAGTTGGAAGGGGCCTTTAAAGGTCATCTAGTCCAACCCCCCTGCCATGGGCAGGGACATCTTCAAATAGATCAGGTTGCTCAGAGCCCCATCCAACCTCACCTTGAATGTTTCCAGGGATGGGGCATCCACCACCTCTCTGGGCAACCCGTTCCAGTGTTTCACCACCCTCAGCGTAAAAAAATTTCTTCCTTATATCTAGTCTAAATCTTTCAATGTTGTAACTGAAGTGAGGTACCAACGCAAAGAATTTGTAATCTGAATTTCGGTAAAGACTTCCTATCTCTGGAGTCAAACCCAAGTTCCCAACTCCCGGCCTTTCTTCATAGGAGAGGTGTTCCAGCCCTCTGACCGTTTTTGTGGCCCTCCTCTGGACCCGTTCCAACAGGTCCATGTCTTTCTTGTACTGAGGATTGCAGAGGTGGGATACAGTGTTCCAGGTGGGGTCTCACCAGAGCAGAGTCCAGTTTTTCATCCACCAGTACCCCCAAGTCCTTCTCGGCAGGGCTGCTCTCAATCCCTTCATCCCCCAGCCCTCTATTGATACCGGGGGTTGCCCCGACCCAGGTGCAGGACCTTGCACTTGGCCTTGTTGAACCTTATGACATTCACACGGGCCCACTTCTTGAGCTTGTCCAGGTCCCTCTGGATGGCATCCTGTCCCTCAGGTGTGTCAACTGCACCACTCAGCTTGGTGCCATCTGCAAACTTGCTGAGGGTGCACTCGATCCCACTGTCTATGTCATTGATGAAGGTATTAAACAGTGCTGGTCCCAGCACGGACCCCTGAGGGACACCACTTGTCACTGATCTCCACCCAGACATTGAGCCGTTGACCACTACTCTCTGGATGTGACCATCCAGCCAATTCCTTAATCTACTGAATATACACGCCAAAAGTCACGTAAGATAAAAACAAAAAAACAGTAAAACAGGTATGACCCACCTTCATATTCACTGAATGGCACAGCTCTGCGGAAACAGTCTTAATGCCTCATAAGGGGGATAGTTTTCATGCATGAAGACTTAGCTGAAACCCAGTCCACTTTAAAGCTAAGAGCGTGTGAATATGGGCAAGTCACGTAAAGAACTCCCTCCCTCACTTTTCTTTCTGAACAATGAAACTGTGCATTGTTAGCACTGATCTTTAATACGCTGATTTTCCTAAGCTATTCTGAGGCCCTTTGGAAAAAAGACTTTATTCCAGTGTAGTGACTTAGAACTATATATAAAGCCAGCAGCTGTAGAAGAAATAGTATTCCTCTCTGATATCTTAGAAAATGATACATATTTGTTTCCGTTTCAAGAGTAGGACTGTTAGTTTTTGCCAGATTCTAGCTGAGTAGTTTTGTCCTTTTTTTTTAACACTTGAAACTGCAGGGAGAAATTAATTTGTTTACTGAATTTGTTTAGTAAAATGCCAGATAGTGCTATTTACATATTTTAAAGCAGCTGTGAGCTTTCTGATTGCAGCCACCTCTGTGGTGGTCTATGAAAGTTGCTTATTAGAATGGAATTCAATTTGCTGTTTAAGACTGCCAATTTCCTTAAAATCAGTCCATTTTACATATAAAAACATAATGAATGATGCAGCATTTGTTTTGGCTATCTTGACAAATGTGGTGTTCAAGTACCTGGTGTTTGAGTTGAATCAAATTTACTGAGGTAAAATGGTGAGAATTTAACCTTTCTTTTTTGCATCAGCACAATGCAGACGCAATGGCACATAATGTGAGGAAAAATTTCTTTACTGAAAGGGTAGTTAAACATTGGAACAGGCTGCCCAGGGAAGTGGTTGAGTCCCCATCCCTGGAAGTCTTTAAAAGACGGGTAGATGAGGCGCTTAGGGACATGGTTTAGTGGGCATGGTGGTGTTGGGTTGACGGTTGGACTCGATGATCTTAGAGGTCTCTTCCAACCTTAATGATTCTATGATTCTATAATAGTCACCCTAGATAAAAAGTTTAGATACGATGCTTTTTAACACAAAACTGGAATGTGCACTAATTGTGTAAGAGAGCAAGTGGACTTTATTGGATTTGTAATTAGATATTAAGAAGTAAGCTTCTTTCAGCTTTTTATGTGGTGTTCCCTTGTTTGATTCCAGGTAGCCTTGAGGAAATCTACAATATATTCTAAGCCAGGAAGTTTATTACTTGGCTTACTGACTAAGCCTGATGACAAAAAATTTTTTTGTGTTAATCTCAGGAAATACCAGTGTGATACTTGATACCTTAATTCATTTGCTTTCACTTTCTTGGCTCGTATTAGTGGAGATAATGAGTTAAAATATTGTTTATACATGACAGAAAAGCAAGTTCTGTGTTATGTATTGAATATTTATTTTGAAAACCCGCATGTTAACTGGAAAGTAAATTGGCATCCTGAAAAGAATATTCATAACTGTTAACATAAAATATCAGTAACTCTTAACATAAAATATCAGTATTTCTGTTTCACAGAGGTGAAAATACAATGTTTATCACCTTTACTGCAAGCTTGAAAAAATGAGTTTCTGCTCTTTTCTATTAGAAGATTTATTAGTAGCGCATTATTAGAAGGTATTCTTTAAGATGTGGACAATAATTTCATTCTGCTATGGTTTCCCATGTTGTCCTTTATCTGTATTTTATTTATGCCTCCAGCCCTCAAATCAAAGTAGGCAGCTAGGGAATATAGTTCTGGAAATTTCCCTGCTAAGTAAGAAATAGTTTGAAAAAGTATCTGCTCATTTAACACAAAAAATGAAAACACTTTTCAGTATGTAAAAATACCATTTGCCCTTTCATTTTGTTTTTTCTTAAAGGAGGGGGGAGATTTTTTTTTTAAATCCAGTTGAGTTGTAAGCTACTGAGCCAGAGATTAAATTCTACCTTAGTTTCAAACACGCTTATGAGTAGTAAAATAATAGCTGATTGGCCATGATCCACTTCAAATGGACTGTAACATTTGTATTCACATGAAGATCCCTGTTCCAAGGAGCTTAGGGTGAATTGGTAACAGGGGGAGACAAGAGAACAAAAGGGAGCACGACTTAGGCCAGCTCATGAGACAGCAGCCCAAGGCACTCCCAGCGGTTCCTCCCTGTCCTGTGGTAACAGCTTGTTCCCTTCACTTCAGCGATGCGGTTCAGTCTGGGCTCATGACCAGTTCTCCTGGGTGGAGGGGCAGGAGCTCCTTAAGTGTAACTCTGCTGCTGTATGAGCACACTCTGATTTAAAAAAAAAAAAAAAAAGTAATAATTATATGCATCGGGAAAGATGCATCCCTAAAGGGACTGTTTGACTTTGGGCAAAGAATAGGAAATCAGGATTTCTCAAGCCCGAGAGACAAAAACTGGGACACTTAAGAGTGTTGGGGAAGGAATTGCCATCATTTGTAGATTGAGTCATCTTCCTGAAGGAGAGTGTATTTGTGAAGTACCTGAAAACTCCTGTAGTAAGCAAGATCCTTTAGCAGAGTGCACCAGTCAAGTTCAGAGTTTGTCGTATGAATTTGTGAAAGACAAAAAGGAAAAAAAGATCGTGGAAAAATTAAATTCCTGCTCTGTGTGAAAGGCTTAAAAATAAATTGTCCCCTAGGAATTCAGAATACATTTTTACCAGACATTTGAGAATTTAATGGACTTTCATTTCAGCAGAGAATTGTCATTTGAGAAAGGTGATGCTGGCATCTGAGGTAAAAAAATTTGCACAGCTGAAAGTAACAGTCTCTGTAAAGGTTAATGTTAAAGGACTTTGTTTTAGCTAGTGAGAAGTCTTTGGCATGCTGACAGATCTTTACAAAATTTCTTTTTTAGTATCTTCACCAACAATTTGGGATCTGGAATTTGCAAAGGAGATTGCAGCAATAACTGCACAACCTCCCCGAAACGGTTTTGAGGAGATGATCCAGTGGACAAAAGAAGGAATACTGTGGGAGTTCCCAATTGACAATGAAGCTGGTACATGCACTGTTAACTTTTATTATCTGTCTGTATTTATCTGTTTTGAGAATTGGAGCATGTTATGACCTTTGACTGTTTTAACATAGTGTTTCAGCTATGAGTCATGCATTTGATAGTAAACAAATATAACTTTCCAACTGTCCCAAATCAGAGATGCTTCAGATGAACTCATTCTGGCACTCTTCAGGTGAAGTCCTGCAGGTGGTTTGGCTGATCTGAGGACTGGCTGCTGCCAAAAAGGGGAGAACTCCCTCTCTCCCTTTCTCACTCGGCCCTGATGCTTTCAACACCAAAAGGCCATTCAAATCTATTACATAATACCTTTTACTATGCAACTTCTTTAAAGACGCTTCTAGCAGAGGATGGGGAATTTTAAAACTGCTGTGTGTGTTTTATAATGCTGATTCTGTTCTTTGGTGTGGCTCTCAGACCAAGTGGCTAGCCGGATCCTAATCAGCTATCTGCTAGTTCTGTATCTGCGCCAGCCGAGTGTTAAACAGTTGTTTGCCCCCTTTGTTCTATCCGTTTCATAAGAATAAACAGTCACAATATTCATTCACTCTGGACATCTATCTTAACTAGACATCTTTGTTCACGGTATTTACTTTTATTACCATTTAAAAGAAAAAAAAAAAAATCTCTGTGTGAAGTTAAGCCAGCAGAGAGAGTGCGAATGTTAAGGAAGGGAAGAACAGCTACACAAAGCAAGTGTACACTTTAGGAAAGGGGACTTCATAACTTCAGGGAGAGCTTGGCTGTGTTTTGTTGCTTTTTTTTAAAGACTTTAAAGACATCAAACAGAACTACTTTAGAATGATTCAGTCACTGAAAGCAAAACAGGTTAGTATGTGAAGCTGGGAGTCTTTGAAAATCTGTCCTATACTGAGTTGCAAATTGCATAATGTGGTTCATTGTTTCTTAATGTTTATTCTCATCCTATTTTGGCAGTTTCTTCACAGAATTTAATCACTGCTCCCAGAATTGATCTGTTCCATCATGTAGAAATCCGAGTATACTCTAGTCATGTTTTTGCAAGCTTGAAACCACTGTGGCCAATGGTTTTTCTGTTGTTGTAATGTGGCTGGAACCCTGCTGTCTGGGGCCGTAAGTGGACCAGGCGTCTTTGGCGGCCAATGGTTTTTCTGTTGCAGCAATGCGGCTGGAACCGTGCTGTCTGGGATGGGGTGGCAAATGGACAAAGAGTCTTTACATATACTTAAACAAGAATCTTTATTGATTTGTCCACAAAGACTAGTCATGTGGAAAATTCCAGTGGAGTGTTCCAAAATCTATCACCTCTCTGGTTGAAATATCAAGTCAGTAAATTCCATCCTATCAAACTGCCAGCCACAGGCTGTTAATCAGATCAGGTATGTCAAAGCACAATTAAAAGCTTGAGAACCTCGCTCCGGTTATATCAATGTACTGTAATTTCAGTGGTCTGCAAAAGAAAGATGTCCCTTCCTGCTGTTAGTTTTGCAGTTTTGTAACAGTCATCTCCCTCAATAGGAGGACATTACCTCAGCTTGTTCTGTATCAAGAAATTTGTGGTTTTTCTTTTATGCCACAAGCATGTGGCTTTAAAAACATAAGTGTAATTAAATTTTCTATTGAGGAAGCATGTATATTCAACTTCTAGCATTATGAAAGCCTTTAAAGTTTTAAATGAAAGATAAAAAAGAAAGAAGATGGCTTATAACTGTTCTTCTTGGCTCCAGAGCATCTCCGGTTATCTCGTTACAAGTGCTTTACCAAGGCGCACTGTGCTGTGCTTTGAGGCATCAGGGCAAGGTCATGATTTTTAAAACTTCTCTGGCCTTGGTGCGAACATCTGAAGATGTGGCTAGACATACTGACTTGCTGCAGTGGCCAGTAGCAGTCTTCCCCGCCCCTCCGCTGCCCTGCTGTCTGCTCCTGCCTGCATGTCCTTTCCCTTATCTGATGCAGTTGAAGTCACTGTTAGGCAGAAAACTACCTTTTTTTTCTTTCCATCTCTCTGACCTCTGATTAATTTTTACCAGATTAGCAAACCATTAGTATAGCTTGCGTAACGTCATTCTTGCTCCTCCTCCTTTCTGCTTGCCTCTTCTGCTTCTAGTAGCTTTAGTTCTGCTCCGTGATTTGCCATGGCAAAAAGTTGGGAAAAACATTGATTTCTGCCCCTTTTTAAAATTATTTCTGTGCATTTATGCCTTGATGACTCAAATCCTGAGGAGGGAGTGCAGTTGTTAAAAACGACAGTGCAGATTATTGGTGCTACTTTGCTTTAGCACCTCATTCTGAGGAGCAAATGCTTCTGGTGGGCCAGAGATCGCTACAGCAGAAGCGATAGGCTTAATGGAAGTCTTGGAAAATTAATGCCTCAAGTTGCCCCTGATGGCTTCTGTAGGCAAAAGTTCACCAAGTCCTGTTCTGGCTGTTTTGCTGAGATGCTGTTCCCAGCAGAGAAGCATTGGATCAGTTTGCCAAGAGGTGGCAAATGTTACACAGCCATTTTGGGGGTTTGCTTTACTAATTCTGGGTCTATTCTAGGGACCTACTGTAAGAGCATGATCTGTCTCATTCTAAAAATCCTAGAATCATAGAATGGATTGTGTTGGAAAGGGACCTTTAAAGGTCATCTAGTCCAAACCCCCTGCCATGGGCAGGGACATCTTTCATTAGATCAGCATACTTGGTCATCTTTATAGCATGTCAGCACCACTCCCTGTAAGGATGGACACCTGCATTTGAGATGTTGTCTTTAAGGCAAGGTTGGTCATGTCTTGGAAGGGTTAGTGTTTTAGCTAGAGAAATTCCCCAGACTTTGTTTTGTAGTACGCAGGGGATTGGAAATAGGATATTGAGAGTGGGTGACTTCTTGCTTTGAGGTTGATAAAGAAAATCCTCTACTTCAGAATCCCAGCATGCATGTTCTTTCAAATTAGGTTTCTGAGGACAGTGCAAGAGAGGCTGAGGGACAGGCTTGTTCTTCCCATGCAGCAGGAGTTATGGCTTGCTGGGGGTGGGGGGAGTCATGTGAGCATATCTCATCTAATCAGTTCCCACCAGAGGTCTCGGCCTCTGATGCTTTGGGCATTTGTGGTCTCTTTTTGTGATGCACACTGTACTTTTTTGAGGACTGAAATATGTGGTCTAACTGAAATGTTTGAACTTAACACTTCATCCCCAAACCATATATCGTGTCTTTGACAAATGGGAGATCAAAATACATGATGTAATATTTCCTTCTGACCTGCATTTTTGTGAGACTGTAAATGGTTTAATTTCTTTTGGGTTAGAGATGAAAATTGGTGAAATTATTAATTAGACATAATCTCTCCTGATACCCTGTATCTATCCCCAAAAGAAGAGCATCCAGAAGGCCAAATTTTACTGTCAGCATTATTCAGATTCTCTCAGTAGTGGGTTCGCTGGTTTAGTTCCCTTGGATTTTTGTGACCAGCAAAAGTATGGAAATCTGGAAAGGATGTTAGCCTGTGAAAGCAACCAGCAGCATCCAGGTACAGCGAGAGTCCACCTTCCCTCGGTGGGGGAAAGTCAGCGTGGGTGGCATGGTAAAAGGATCATCTCTGTGCTTCTGTAAGTGGACATCGGTTTCCAAGCACAGCAGAAATATACCTTCTGAAGCTGACATGACTTTTTTTTCCTTGTAACATAAAGGAAAAAGAAGAGGGCTTCTGAAGAAGGAAGCATGCTTTCTTTTTCAAGGACAAGGGAGATAAATGTGGCATGTAGCTGGTATTGGTACACTCACAAATTTGTGGGAAAAATCTGTGGGGAAAAATAGAGGTATTTCCTAGCTCCTTCAGATATTGCAGTACCTAAAGTTTAAAACAGAAAAGAAAGAACACAAACTTAACGAATACAAGCTGAGAGACTTCTCAATCCCAGAGATGTGCATCATTTCTTCTGAAACTGTAGAAGCGCTAACACAGGAGGAAGCCTAGGACTGACATGGCTTGATTACCTCAATTTTAATCCTCCTGATTGAACGTTGTCAAATAATATATCATATCCTAGCTAGTGTAGAAAAACGTGTGCACTTATGTCTGTGGTGTAGACTTCCCATTTTTGTTGCCTGGAAATGTTCATATGCAATACTTTTCTCTAGTAACAGATTTTTACTTAAAGGTGCAAATGTCATTTACAAATCTATAGCAAATTGGGATCAAATAAAAATTTTCATCTATCCCTAACTGAAGAAAAATCTTCCAATTGCAAATCCCAATTCACCTTGGGTTTTTATCTCAGAATTGGGAACTGCAAAAGCACCCTTTTTTCTGTATGTAGGAATTTATGTTCTGAGTCTGTCTTGTGTACGCTAGCATCATAGTATGAACAACAGCAAAGGAAATCCACAGGACAGAGAAGAAAAATTTACCATAGGATCTGAGCTGTGCTTGATTAGAGATGTACAATAATCCCTTGTCCCGTGTTCCTGTGGATGCTTTTGAATGCATTATCTTTTGTGCTGGTTACAACTTAAAAGTAGCAGCTGGTGAGATACAACATTTTTATGTTGGCATACACTCCTAGATTCAGAAAGTATTAGAAAAACAATTTTCTGTGCCCATTTGGTAGCAATAGGATGTTAAAACCATGACTTGGAATGAACATGCAAGTGTGTGTTAGCTGTTCAGTATTACATAGTTTATGGGGTTGCCTCATTTGTTCAAGACTAACTTGTATTCTTTAATCCTCTGCAGAATTTAGGCAATCAGTGTTTTCTTAAAGAATTTATTAAGAAAGTGTCCCCAGTCTAAAAGGTGGTACCCATGATGAATCAAAATTTTCATGTATTGAACAAACAGGTTTTTAGCCAGAAGATCGATTTATTTTTTTTTTTAATTATTCCCCCCACTCCCGCCCTGGCATCAGCTTTCAGCAAGATTACCAGCCAGAAAGTTGATTTAAATATTAGATATTCTTATAAGTGAGAGCACAAAATGGGAGTAATATGGTAGACAGGAGTATGATATATGCTGACATTTTTTGTGTGGAGGGAGAAATTAATGTCTTAAAATTCTGCAGTTTGTTCCACTTCTGTGTGGTTGGCTTAACTGTGCGAAAGAATTAAAAGGCACAGAACCATTCATTTTACTGATTTGAGATTATTTTCAAACTATATCCTTTTTTACTTTGATAAATATGCTGTTCTATTCTGATAACAACTTTGTCATTTTTTTGTCCCTTCTGTTAGGGATGGAGGATAATGCTGAATTTCATGAACATATCTTTCTGGAGAAACACCTCGAAGACTTTCCCAAGCAAGGACCTATTCGCCACTTCATGGAACTAGTCATCTGTGGGCTTTCAAAAAACCCATACCTCACTGTTAAACAGAAGATTGAACATATTGAGTGGTTTCAGAAGTATTTTGAGGAAAAGAAGGAACTTCTTCAAGAGATTTGAGACTTGGGAAAGTGCTTAACCTTGAAATGAAGAATCATTGCATCAAAATTTGATGATTTCTTATAATGGAAATACTGTCAGTGCATAGTAATCATGTGACCTGAAAGTTGAATTTTAAATAATAAACTGAAAGGTCATACTTTCATGTGTGTATGTCTACGTATATGTAGATATTTTTTGACAACAAAAGAAGGAACTGAAAAGTACGGCTTTTGTAGAATGTGCATTTAAAATTTAGTTTATCAAAATTGTTGTCTTTTAAATTTAAAACTAATCTTTTGACCATACAAAATATTAGGTCTAATTCCACTTCCTACACCCTTCACACTTGGTGTGTATCTTGACAGGTTTGATCGTCTTTCCCGTTCTGGAAAACTTGCAATGCTTTCATTTTTAAAAACTCCTGATACAACTCTTAATTTTGAAAAGCTGTTACTGAGGTAGTAACAGTTCGTTTTGCTAATTCATTAAATGCACTGGTATTTGGATGGTATTAATCCTTTTGTCGTGGTTTAACAACAGGTTTAATTTAACCAGGACACCTTTGTATCCTCCTTTCACTAATTATCAGTTCGTTTTAAAATTTTTGGTAATGACTAAGTCATTTGAATTGAATGCTTGTTAGTTCATCTGCTCAATGAAAGGCTATTGTATTCGTGAGGTGCGTGCACAACATAATACTGGTGAGTTATATAAAATAATACGAGAAGTCTCTCCTACCATCCATACATCCATTCTGAAGCTTTTGACCAACTTCCCGCCAGTATTTGTTGTTTAAAAATGGGACTGGTTGCCAAGTAATCCATAAAGTTCTGTTTCATTAGAGCAAGCAGTTCTATGATTACTACAATGTTTGGAGGTGAGGTCTCCTGCATCTGCAGGGCTGGAAAGGGGACTTGACGTTGCTGGCAAGGAGAGTTGTCGCTTACAGATTGCTGTCGCATGATGCCACTGCTGTTTTCTGTCTAGTCCTCTGACGGTGGTGAAGTAGCTTCGTATTTCTAGATGATCCTTTATTCTAATTAAATGTGTATGGTCCTTCGTATCTATTAAGCAGTTGCAATATATTTTACTTCAGTTATCTTCTGTTACATTTTCATCCCGAATTACTCGGTCATTCAGAATCCTGGATTACGTCTTGCTGCTTAACTTCCCAGAGCATTTCTGGCCTCACGTATTGTGCTCTTCCTTGTTCTCTCGCGTTAACTCCAACCGCTTTAGCAGCCATTGGCCCTATAAACATGCTCCTATCTTTTTCTCACATTTCCTTGTAACTCAGGCAGGAAGGAGGAAGTTATGGAATGAAGGTAAAACACTGGCTTCATAAGCAAACTGATTTTTTAAGTCAGAATTACAAGACAGCAAATAAAAAATAAAGAGCTAGCCTTTTTCTGTCAGTTGGAATATTGCTGCTGTGTTCTGCTCATCTGCAGCATGTGAGTTTGCCTGTCTAGCAAAAGGGCAAGACTCGGCCTGTGGAAGGGAAAAGCAGCTTTTTGACTTTCTAGCTGTAAGAACAGCAAGGTTCAAATTCTGCAGAAATTTTCAGAGGCTTCCTTGTTTTGGAATGGAGACAGAGAGAATTATATCAAAGTATCTTCATTTAGTACTAGGATAGTTTTAGTTTTCGGTTCAATGCCCAGATATGTTTTACTTCAAAAATACCGTTCTTTCCCAGATTTCTACCAAACTATGATGCACAGCAGCCTGCGTTCTGCTGTATTTGAAGCCTTTTCTAAAACAGGTACAGTGACTTTGAATTCACCGTCGGCTTTTAGAAATAGCTCCTCTGTGTATTTGCATCTAACCCGTGTTTTGATACGAGAGACAGGACACTCACAAGCTCGGCTCTTACTGGAAGAGGTTCGGGAGCATTAGCTGTGTATGAAAGTACGGAATTTCACAGCGCTGGGAGCGAGGTGAACGTTACCGTTTAAACAGATTCATTAGGAGGTCAGTACTTCGACAAGCTCTTAACAAGAGCTCTTGGTGCTTAGGATCTTTGGAAAGCTGTAGTAATTCCTACTTAGGTGCTTAAATATAGATTTGAGAGTTAATACTAGGCCACAGGATTTGAATAATCAGACCTAGCTGCACATACGTACAGATGCTTACTGGGACTGCTCAAGGCGCATTAAGAGAGCCCAAGTGGCAGGGCTTTTATGGGTGTGTGGTTTTTGGGGTGTATGCTTCTTGGTAGTCCCAAAGGAGTAGACTTGCAGGAATTTAAAGCATTGCTTACAAATTAGTCACTTAGAAGCATAAAAATCACCCCTTTTCTTTTGCAGCCCAAAGGATAAAAGCTGTCCGCCGCTGTTCAGAGCGGAGCCAGTGCTGCAGCTGGTGATTCCCATGCTGGAGTCTTTCAGGCTTTTTTTAATGATGGTTGGTTTTCCCCCTCTTGTAACTGGTTAGGTGGTTTTAAATGTAACTTAATGGACTCAGCATTGGGATCTGTCCAAGGCAAAATAGCGTTTGTTTTGTTCTATGGTCTTACATTTCCTTCTTTATGCATGAAGCGGAGGTCTCGTTAATGCGCTGCTAATGCTATACCTCCACGACACCCGCATTGGAAAGTTGTCTGGCTTTGAGGGGGGCTGGGGCAGTTGATGCTGCCCTGAGAAGAAGATGGAGCAGACTGACCTGGAGCCGTAATTGCAGGGAACATTGTCCATGCGTGATTTTTAGGTGACAGTTTTTCCTCTGGGGTGACTACAATGGGTACGTAGCTAAAGGAGAACGTCTTGTTGAGTGGAGGTGGCTGAGCTGCTGCAAAACTGCATGCAAAGGTGTAGAGACTCGCTGTTGGTGATGGTGGTAGCTGTTGATAGCACTGTGAATGATGGTCATGGCTTCCCCAGGTTGGCTGCTACACCGTGAAGAAATCCAAGCTCCTTTTCCCTCCCTTTCCATCATACCTGGGTAGTCTCCATTTTCTACCTGTCTGGTACTACCGCAGCGGTTCCAGAGAGTCTCTGGCCATCTCAGAGGAGACGGAGGCACTGGTGCGGGTAGAAGACCTGGCAGAGGACAGCGACTCTGTGTTGGCAGAGCGAGGGAAGAAGAGGGGGAATGAAAGGGGCCCCTATGGTTTGTAAAGGTGTAACGGAGAAGTTCAAGGCATAACATTTATTACCTGCCTGGCTCTGTCCCTCTAACTTCTTTATTTCTGCTTCCCAAGGGCCAATCTTGCCCTGCCCCGCCAATGGTTGAACTGATTATTGAAGTTAAATTAAATCCAAAGCACTTGCTCACAACCCGGTTTGAACCCAGCTCCGTGTGTCCCCCTGGACAGGTCAGAAATTGGGCTGGAAAAAAACCAAACTTCTTGGGGATGGTCTATTGCCCAAAGGGAAGGATAGGAGTGAGTAGGGTGAAAACCCCATGAAGGGCTGAATAATTTATTGTGTTAATGCAGGGGGTCTCACTGAGGTGTAAATGCCAGCCCCTTGGGTTGTATGCCAGCCCAAACCTTGTCTCTGGCATCTGACGGCACCCTCAGTCTTCTCAAACCTATTTGATATGAATGGTTTGCTAGAAATCAGACTTGATGAAGCACTTTTCCCCCTGCTATGGAGCAAGCGTGAGCGTTTGCTCCCCAGTGTGGTATAGGGAAGAAGCTGGAGGAATGATTGTACGGTTTGGTTGCAAGATTATCTCTGCTGGGATTTCAGCTCTTGGTGTTAACCCCTACCAAACAATTATGCCGTGGCATTGATGTGGCCTGTGCCTAACGGGGGGTTGTCCTCCTTGAACACTTACCCAAGCACTGGAAGAAAGATGGCAGTGGCTTAATTTAACCCTTCTGGCCCAGCAGAGGAGCTAAAATTAATGGGGTGAATAAGGAGGAAAATCTTGCGCATGTTCCCAAACTGCAGGCAGTTTTTGCTTAAACCATGTATTTTCAGATGAAGAGGAACATTAAAGGAGTCTCAGAGTGCTACTCAGGTCCATTTTGTTCCAGCGCTTACAGAGATAATAAGATTCCAGCATTAAAATAGCTCCTCATCGGAAGCTTGTGCTTTGATGAGAAGCCTGAAGCATTGGGGCATTTATGCAGGAGGGGCCATGGTATTGCTTTCAGTGAGGATTTAAAAGTAAATAGTCTCATTTTAGTTGGGTTTGTGAGGATCGTTTAGCAAAACAATGTTCGTGAACAGAGAACGATGACTTTTGAGATTGCAGGGACTGGCTTTCACCGCGGACACACCTGCGGATGCTTTGGGAAGTCTGGCTGCTGCTGCAATGGTGCCCAGCAGGACACAGCAAGGGTGTAAATCCCACCCTGCTGAGTGGCTGCAGCATTCTGGTCTCATGATCTCCACAAGATGTCAGTGTAGATTTATTGGATTAGATATGAAATCCTTGTGCTGTTCCCCCCAGCAGATTAAAGCAAAAACTGTTTTAGAGCTGCACAATAGGTTTGATTGTGCTCTGGAATGCGTCGCCCATGGAGGAGCGACGTGGCGAGCGCTGGCGTCCAGGGAGGGGTGCGAGTGACACCCTGAATGGGAGCAGAGCTCCTGGCGAAAAAGGGTAACGCTTTGCTCATATCAAGGTGCCCTTATTCCCTTGGGGACGGGTTGTGTATGTGTAATATGCAATATTGCACTTGTGCAATAAAGTGCTCTATATTTTACTCAAAGAAAAGCTGGAAGCCTGAAGAAAAACTAGAAGGGCCAGCCTGGGTGGCAGAAAGGATCTGAGGGTGATTGGGTCAAGTCATGTGTTGGAGAAGCTTAACTGCTGGCATGCGGTATCCAAAGCTTGCTTTGTTTCTTTATATACAAAAAGTGGTCTTGCAACGTTGAGTAATGAGCTGTGACCCTGCAAAGAAACCAGGACATAGCGTCCAACGCAAGGGAGTTCCCCTTCACCTTTTAGCTCTTTTGCATAGCAGTCCCTGCCTGTCAGAGAAACTTTTTAATGCCTGTCGAAGTGAATTCAGATGGATGTCAGCAACAGAGGAGTTTTTCCATGGAAAAAGATTCTCTGAAGCGCTGGCAGTGGGCAGTGGTGGTGGTGGTGGAGATGCCAACCCAAGCCCAGGTCTGGCCCTGTGCGGGAGGGAGTTTCCCCAGCCAGGCTGGGCTTCTCCGTGCCCCTGCCCTGCCCAGCCTCTCCTGGGACTACGCTGCCCTAGGCATTGCTGGGCCAG